CACCCAAAGGGACCCCCCCCCCCCCACCCCCAGGAGGGTGATTTTGGAGGGTGGGGGTTTAGCTATTTCGAGTTTTCTTGTTCGTCAGTTTGGCCACAGCTCTTTCAACCAAGGTTCATGGCACCATGGTTGAGTTCTTGTTGAGGAGTTTAACCTAAGTCACTACCATTGAAGGGATCTTATTGTAAATCTAAGGTTGAGCCCATGGGCCCTTAGTATGGGCCCTTAAGGCTGGGATCCTTATATACCTACTATACACCCTATATGTGCCCTGAAGGGTCCGTAGAAAGGCCTAAGGGTCCATAATAGGGGCCCATACTTCTAACTTCTAACCTTCGAGTAAAGCATGGTGTGTCCTTAACTGTGTAACCTAAACTATCTTGGTTGAACTTTACAGTCACTTTATAGCTTTATCACTTTTAGGATGAGCCTTCTTGATATTAGGGGTACTAAAAGTTATAATTTTAGCAGGGTAGTAAAGAGACCCCAGCTAAGTTCCTGAACAAGAACCCAGAATTTGCAGATGCCCATGGGTCCGATCCCAGAGAACCCCAGTGACGTCTCGACGGTTTAGGGTTTGGGCTGCAGGGTTTACAGTTTCAGCTTGGGGGTTTCGAGTTTAGGGATTAGGGTTTCTTTATTGCGACCGCTTCATGCGATTTCAGGTATATTGGGATATTGGTTTCTCTTGAATGCTAGTAGACTTGATCTGCATGTCTGGTCGTTGTGTTGGGTTCACAGGCAGCGTAGCATTGTACCCCAAGGCTCAAAATAGCCCGAAAGCTCTATCTAGTAATCTAGTATGGCCTTGGGCCCTAAACCGTAAACCCTAAACCCTAAACCCTAAACCCTATACCCTAAACCGTAATATGAGCCCTCAGAGCCTTAGGGCTAGCTTTTGTTGTGATGACCATCACCTCGTGGCTCCGTTTTTGTTAGCCCTTCCATCCTGCCCCCCCGAAAGGAACCCGAAGAACCCGCAACCCTCAACCTTGGGTTTAGGGTTTAGGGTTAGGGTTTAGGGCTTCGGGTTTAGGGCTTCGGGTTTAGGGTTTAGGGTGTAGGGTTTAGGGTTCCGGCAACTTCCAGGGAGCATCTTTGGGGCATTTGTCCGTAACGTGTTAGCGTTATCCCTGGACCCTGAGCCCTAAACCCTGAAACCTAAACTTGAAACCCTGGAAAACAACCCTAAACCCGCAACCCTAAACCCTGAACCCCAAAACTCTAAACCTAAACTGTCTAACCCTAAACCCTGAAACCTAAACCTATGAAGCCCTAACGCCTCGACCCTGCCAGAGATCCCAAGATCCCATAAGACCTCGAATTAGAGGGGACGTACTATTCTTAAATCTTTGGGCGCTTAATCTTATGCTATAAGATATATTCTTTAGTTGAGGGGTATTGGGCTCTCCGGGTACCTTGACCTATAGGGAGCTTAGTATCAATTATGATATAAAGTATAGTATATTCCTTAGTTGAGGGAAACCCTAAACCCCAAACCTTGGAACCCTAAACCCTCAACCCTAAACCTTGGAACCCTAAACCCTAATCTTTGCAACCCTAAACCCTAAACCTTGCAACCCTAAATCCTAAACCTTAGAACCCTGAACCCTAAACCTTGGAACCCTGAACCCTAAACCTTGGAACCCTAAACCCTAAACCTTTCAACCCTAAACTCTAAACCTTGGAACCCTAAACCCTAAACCTTGGAACCCTAAACCCTAAACCTTGCAACCCTAGGCCCTAAACCTTGGAACCCTAAACCCTAAACCTTGCAACCCTAAGCCCTAAACCTTTCAACCCTAAACTCTAAACCTTGGAACCCTAAACCCTAAACCTTGGAACCCTAAACCCTGAACCTTGCAACCCTAGGCCCTAAACCTTTCAACCCTAAACTCTAAACCTTGGAACCCTAAACCCTAAACCTTGGAACCCTAAACCCTAAACCTTGCAACCCTAGGCCCTGAACCTTGGAACCCTAAACTCTAAACCTTGGAACCCTAAGCCCTAAACCTTTCAACCCTAATCCCTGAACCTTGGAACCCTGAACTCTAAACCATTCAACCCTAAACTCTAAACCTTGGAACCCTGAATCCCTAAACCTGTGGGCTCTCTGCTTCAGGTGCTTCTCTCCGAGCGAAGCTCTGTGAGCCTCTAGGCGGCAAGTGCAGTGCTGCTGCCATGCCAGCCAGGTAATAATAAAGTTTAGGGTTTAGGGTTTAGGGTTTAGGGTTTAGGGTCACGCATCTCTATAACAAAACCCGAAGCCTTTAAAGCTTGCTATTTAGTTTCCCTAGGATCGTGGACAGGCAAGATGCAACAAAAGGCCTTAGGGGTTTTGGGTTTCGGGGTTTTGGGTTTAGGGTTCAGGGGTTTAGGGTTTGGGATTTAGGGTTTAGGGATTTAGGGTTTAGGCCGGCAAGCAGACAGAGGACTTCTCTTGTAAAGTAGCTTGGCCGTTCTTGGGATAGTTTAGGGTTTAGGGTTTGTCGGGTTTATCTTGGTGTTCTGGCTATGTCAAAACGAGGTTTTGTCTGCGGCCCTCCTGCGAGGGTTAGAGTTAGAGCTAACGACGGTGTATCTTTGATCTGACGTGTTTACGCTTTCAGGTTTGGCTTCAAACATCAACCTGGATCCGTAACCCGATAATATAGAAGCCTAATATAATTACCAAAACATATACTATAAAGGGGCCCAGAACCCTATTCTAGTTATTGAGGCCTCTACATTAACCGATGCCCGAATTTTTAAATCCAGAGGCCCGAAGCGCTCGACTCCTACCCGGACTGCAATTGCGGCCCTACTCCCCTCATGACTGAATTCCCTGGTTTGTGGTCTTGAATTTAGGATCTCTATGATCTTATAATCCCTGAACCTAAACCCCTGATAACCCTTCTTAAAGGCAGAGGGGCTTATTCATCAGATGCCTCCAGTAAGCTACAGACGTATCCTCCGTAGGGTAGTACTTACTGATTCGAAGGATAGTGGGCTCTCCGGAATTGCCCGAGACCCCCAACCCTACACCCTAAACCCTTCTTGTGGCGCCGGGTAAAGAGGGTTTCTGGGTTCTGGAGTACCATACTTGAATACTTTTTTTGGGACCTGTTCCTTAAGAGAACCATTATGAAATTATAGTCTATACTTTTTTTCTCCCTGGTTACTTCAAAGTCCAGGTTTAGGGTTTAGGGTTTTTCGTCGAGGTGCTCCTCGCTTACTCTTGCGCTGCGTTGGCAGCACTGTGCTGACATCGGCGTCGGCATCCTCCAGATCGATCCGAGATCGACGAGGCAGCTGATTCGCAACTCCCTTCCTCTAAGCCTCAGCCCTAAACTAAACCCTAAACCCTACATCATAAACCCAAACCCCTCGGTGGCACTCAGAATCCCAATATACATACCACGGGGCTTCGCTAATCAGGGATCTGCGAGTTGAAAGTTGAGGCTTTGGAGTGTCACATTAGAGGCCAGAAAACCCCTGAACCCTAAACCCTAAAAACTACCAACAGGCATTCCCTAAGAGCCCTTCTCAGGATTATATATACCTTATATAGCAGACCCTAAACTCCTAAACCCTATAACCCTAAACCCCAAACCCCCCAATAGTAGGTAGGCAACTTTAGGACTTTGGGTTCAGGTCTCCGGCTTCGCGTGTATAGAAGGCCTCAGGCATAGGGCTTAGGGTTTAGGGTTTTAGGGGTTTAGGGTTTAGGGTTTAGGGTGGCTCTTAGGACTTTGACTTTGTTGGTTTCTACATGAAGTATAATAAGTAGGCTAACAGTTTAACTTTTAGGAGGAGTTCAGAAGTCAGCCAAGGGTTTAGGATGTGGGTAGTTTATAGAAGGTCTAAGGCTTTCGGTTTAGGGCTTAGGATGTGGGTAGTTCTCTAAATTAGTGTTCCTTTTTTAGGTTTCAATAATAGTGTGGCACCTTTCTACACTAACTTGGAGCACTACCCATGCACGCGCCCACGGTTGGGTGTGATGTTTGCCTAGGGTTCCCAAGTCTGTAAGCCCTGCCATAATTACGCATGGAGCGCAGAACTCGAATGGACGCCAAGCAAGGTTCCAGCGCTCAGCCACGAGGGTTTGGAATAGGGTTTAGGGTTTAGGGGTGTCGGACCCCACAAATTCCACTGCGTGGAGTGTTTCAGGCTCCTTTTCGGCCATTGCTGCCTGCGGTGCGTGCAAGGCTCTGGCGCGCAATCATTCCGACAATCCTAAACCCCAAACCCTAAACCCTAAACCCTACGCCCCAAACCCTAAACCTTAAGCCCTAAATCCTAGACCCTAAACCCTAAACCCCAGAGCCTAAACCCTAAACCGTAGCTGGGTACAAACATGGGTGCCCTGAAGGCAGGATGCCCAGGGCTGGCTCCGAGCCTCGAGTTAATATAGGGGCGGGTTTAGGGTTTAGGGTTTAGGGTTATGTATAATTGGCCCCATAACCCGATTCTACTTATTAAGGCCTCTATATTATATTGCACATGGCAAGCCTCTTGCCATCGCTGCAAAAAAATGTTCAAACGGAGAAGAAACGGGAGGCGGAGGAGAAAACACAACGTGCCATGGATCGGTGTGGCAGAACACACGCAGATTATGCCTTCAGGGGTCTAGCTTGGGTATTTGTGTCGTATAAGAGCTGCGACAGCACGAAGAATGCGTGCAATACCGCGTAGACGGCATTGAGCATCGGTGTATGCAAGTTGATGTACACCCCATGAAGAACATACCGGGTCAGGAAGTCTAGCACTGCCCGAGCACGGGCAATTCGTCACACGTGTTTCCATTGAGAATCTGCCGCTGGGGTGCACCCTAAACTCTAAACCCTAAACCCTAAAGGTCCTAAACCCTACACCCTAAACCCTAAGCCCTAAACCCTAAACCACAGCTACACGACTAGCAATGTTGCCAACAGCAGCCAAGCCAGCTGGGATCTTCAAAGACTCATACTTAGATGGTCATGGGACTTAGTAAGTACGGCTGTAAGGGTTTAGGGTTTAGGG